ATCTTTTCTAGTAGATGCACAAAATTCTTTGTTCAAGACCTCTGATGTGCTTTCCTTCTGTGACAGTCCCAGTTCACTCTCCAAGGCTGGAGCAGGGCTATCTTATTTTGCTTGCTGATCCCAAAGTCCTATGCTGGCCAATCCCCAAGTGAGAGTCAATTGTTTAATGTATCTGAAGCTGGTCTCGCTTGAATTCCAGGGTTCATCCCCCAAATCTCACCAAATCCAGGTCTTGCTTGCCTGTAGAAAACATTTGTATGAACCAGAAGAGTTTTCAGAGCAGAGCTGGATCACCTGGAGCAGCTCATCTCTCAGTTGTTCAGTGCTTCCTGTAAATAACAGAAAAGCAGCTCACTTTTGGATTTCTATTTTGAGTGCATTAACAACTTTCTCTCCTGTGTTCTCTTGTTTATATTGCCCTAACTATTCTTTATTTATTCAATTCCGATTTTGTTATTTCCTTTTAATCATGTTTACTTCCACAGAGTTTGAGGGGTTTGCCCTCTTACTCTCATATTCTGTGCCTGAATAGAAAGCAGATGTCACAATTTCCTCTAGTCCTGCATTGTGATTGTCATTTTAGTTCTACAGAGCTAATAAAATTGTGCAACATATCACTATTCATTCCCTAAACAACTTTAAACCACCTCAGCTTTAAGTGTAAGAACATGAGTAGTTCAGTTGCTGTTCTATTTTGTCAGCTATGTCAACTTGTACTTGCTAAGACATGTACAAATAGCTGGGGAATTTTGCTGTTTTCTGCTTTTTTCAAATAGGTGTATTTTGGGAGTTCAATGTTATCACTCATATTTGGGGTCTGAGCACCTGTTTTCACATACAGAACTGTAGGTCTTAGGAAAAATGAAGGCAAAGAAAAATATTACCTTGATACCTTTAACTTAGAGCAACTTTGCAGCTCTTTTAAATATTCTTTAGTCTTGCTGTTTTCAATGTCATCATAAATGCCAACTGCGCCTTGAAATGTTCATTTCCTAAGCACATTACTTTGAGATAAGTTGTTTTTTTTTTTTTCTTCAGTTCTGTTATGTAGTGTGTAGCTGGTTTTGCCTGAATGTCACTACAGCAGCAAGGTGTGTAAATGTGCATTGTCAGATGGCAGCTGCATGCCAAGTGCAAGTCTTCCTCTGGTGTTTCCTCATTTGGGCCTTTCTGATCTCATTTTGTGAACATCATCTCACTGGAGATTAACATTAGGGAATTTTAGAAAACTTTTAAAACTCTCTTTATTTTAACTGTTCTGCTTGTTTCCATGGAAATGGGAATCTATAAGATTGTCAGGAGTGAAGAGCTGAGAGTGTTCTATATGTGTAGATTTCATTAGGTGACTCCCAGCTGAGATCTGGGATGACCTAAATAAGTAGTAAAACATTTAGTGGGGAAAAAAAAAAGACCAACTCAACAAAAACACTATATGCATTCTTTTTGTCCTCATTGGATGTGGTAAGAAAGAAAAGGCTTATTTAACTCTTGGGGTACATGAGTTACATGGATGCATTTGCAGCTTTCTTCAGACTCTTTTTCAGGATAGTAGCGGTTCTGTACAACAAACACAGTCCATCCCTTTGATAGGATGGACTTTTTAACTGTGACCTGAACTCTTTCAAGTGGATGTTTGTGGGCAATGAGGGATACCTATGTCAGAAAATTGTATTTCTACAGTTCAGGTTCACTGAATTTTCAAATGTCAGCCTATGTTTGCGTGTAAGAAATAGTTGACAATTCCATTTCTGAAATTACCTCGCTCGCAGAAGCCAAGAGAGTAAACCACATCTCTCTGGCATGAACCTTATATATTTGTTCTTCAGTTTAGAATGGAAACCTTCCCCTTGTTGCCAGGTAAGAATAAAACTTATCACCACTGAGAATTTGCCTTAACAGTTGTGTCTTCTTAGCAGATAGTAAAATGCAGAATGGCTCAAGTCAACAGGTTTTGCTCCCCAGTTTACCATCTCATGTTATTTTCAGGCACTACTTCTTCATTCAGTTCTCTGCATGGAAAGCCAGTGTTTTGCTCAACAAGTGGTTTTTGTAGAATATTTTACCCAGGTGTGCCATTGTGTGCCTGATACCTGAATGTGTTCATGTGAAGTCAGCCACAACCTTCTGCTGTCCGGGGGTGAGCTCAGATACACTGGTTAGGAATGTGCAGGTGCAGAATCCTTCATCTTTATAGAGTTATCCTGAGAGTAAAATGATAAGGATTTCTTGCTTAGAATACAAATTTTGCTTCATTTTTAAGATCAGATGTTTTCTTCCATAAACTGGTGAGTGAGGGCATTGGTTACTTATGCCTATGTCCCCTCTTTTTTCTTAAAATGAGGAAAAATATCAATAAAGAATCATGAGGTGTGCAGGATTCTAAAATTGCCATTCCAGGTTACCAAACTGCTGCTGGGCTCAGTGCCTCAATAACTGTTATCTGAGATTAAGAACCCAATATTAATCCATCAATCAGTGTGACAGCTTGTGGGAGAGGTGTCTTTCACTACATGTGAAGTTTACCTTGATATCAGCTCATTAGGAAGTAGATCTTTTCAACTGCTTGATATATCTACCCTTATTTATTGGAACAGCTTTCAGTAGTGATGTCTACTAAAAGGTTCTTGCTGTTTTTTCTTAAATTTCCAGTGTATTGGTTTGAAAGTAGAATTTAAAAATTGGAATCCATGAAAATAGATTTCAGTATTATATAACTTCAAGTTACATGATTTCCTCTTAGCAGTGTTCTCTGTAGAACTGTCAGATATTAGTGAAATTTAAAAATGAGAGGTAGGTGTTTATAGAGGTATGGAAACAGCTGAGACTTTATCTAAATAAAATCCCAGTGTGGTTTGTAGCCTAATCTCATATTTTGTATTTGGATGTAATGAGTAATCTTGTAATCTTCTCTCTATCAATCTTCAAATTCTATGATCTTGTATTTTAGTGATTTACTCCTCCTTTATGCTGCATGTAAAATGTAAGCACTTAGCCATGCTGGGTTTTATTCCATTTTTCAACTAGAATTTGGAAGTTTTTCCTCCAAATAATGCTTTTAACATGCTTTTCCATAAGTCCTGCAACTCTAGGTGTAAGAATTAACTTTATGCTGCTGCTGCTTCCATCAATGTTAGCAGAGGTTTTCCTCATTTGAAAGGACTGTAATCAAAAAGTTTTGAAGGTAAAGCAGCACCTTGGGATGGGTGAAGTTTGTCAGCTTGTTTAAGCCAGACAACTCGTGGCAGCTTTTGTGGGTCTCAGGTCAGGGATTTTTGTGGGAGTCACCACATTCCTGTGCAGACATCACCAGTGAGATGCTTCTGGTTCATCTGATTTTGAAGTTTTGCACAACTTAAACTTGATTTAATGAGAATTAAATTTGATTAAAAATGAGAAAAAAAATTGATTAAATGAGAACTATAACGTGAAATACGTCCAAAAGAATACCTGTGTTTGTTTGATAAATTTTGGGTTTTTTTGTTGACTGCACCAAATTCAACTGCTGCCTTTCCTGACTGTTTTTATCAGATGAGAAATGCAACTGTAAGGTAAAATGAGAAGTAGGTTGTATTTCATGCAGGGAGACTGTGTCCACTATCACAGAGTGAGTTCTGTCAGACTTTTTGGTCACTGAAAGTGACATTTTGGGGTGATGGAACTCACCTCGTTTCCACTCTGTATCTAGGACTGGTACCTAAGAGCACATTCTGTATCTGGATCCATACCTCACTGCATGGCCCAGTGCAAAGGCTGGGTTGAGATGTTCAATGTTAACCTTTTTCCAAGAATTTTATATGTATGATATTTAGACTACTATCTCTATTAAAATTTTTTGCAGATTTTAAACCTTTTTCTTGCCCAAAGGAAAATTCCTCTAAAATGGGAGATCTCAGCAGGCTATCTGGGAACACAGTGGAAAGGCACAGGCAGAAAGCATGAGAGATCTGCTTTGAGTGGACTAAAGCCCTGTCCATGTTTGATCAATCCATTTTGTTTTATTGTTTGAAATCACTTATTGAAGTGCTGAGCCTTTACTTCCCTACAGAAGTAACAGATTTTTACTATTAACTTCATGGTTAACAGCTAACTTTAGGGCTTTAATTTCTTAGTTCAAATTGAGATATTGATTCAGAGTGAATATATAAATATATCTGAGGAGAATTCCCTGGTAAGAGGAGGATATTTTGGATATTTTTTTCTTAATAATTTTAAGAGATGGTATCATACTGAGGCTTTTAAATTAAGCTGGCCTATGCCAGTTTGGAAAGCTCTTCTATATTTTAAAAACATCACTATTTTTTTTTTTTTTAAACCACCAACTACTTCTTAATTCTGTTTGGTGTGCTGGAGTTGTTTGGTGGCTTTTTTAGTTCTTTTTTTTCTTTTTGAGACCTCTCTGGGGCGTCTCATCTTCCTTTTAATGTGACTTTAATGTTGGTTGGTTTTAGTTCTTATTTTGAGGTTTTATCCTGCTGCTTCTACCCCAATGGATCATTACATCTAAAAGCTAAGCTAAAATGTCTGGTGGGATACAATATTTTTGAATGCAGAGCTATAAATAGTTCCGTGTTTTGATAAAAAAATATCTCTATTGATATCATGACTGCTCAGTAGAAAGTTGATTGAGTTATACTGAAGCTATTTTTGGGATATTGATAATCTTTTGGAATAGCAGATTATATAATAATCATTTGGTGAGCCTTTGATATAAGGTATATGTAGAGATGTATATCTATAAAATATAAACGTGGCCTGTATTGTCCTTCTTTGCTAGGCTCCAGTCATTTTTTCATGTTTTTATCAATAGAAATTTATTGTAGTTTCTGAAATCAGACTTCTGTGATGTTCTGTAGTTATCTTCTTTTAACTACTGGCTTTCCACTAAACTTGATGTAATTATCCGTAATTAAGCCGTAGTCGCATATACATGGGGCACGTGTGTGTATGGATGCATAATACATATTTTTCCTGTTTTGCAAACATTTTTATTTTCTTTTCAGTGGGATGCCATAACTGAAATGGACGAACACAACCGGCCCATCCACACTTACCAGGTGTGCAACGTGATGGAACCCAACCAGAACAACTGGCTGCAAACCAACTGGGTCTCCCGCGACGCCGCGCAGAAAATCTACGTGGAGATGAAGTTCACCCTGAGGGACTGCAACAGCATTCCCTGGGTGCTGGGGACCTGCAAGGAAACGTTCAATCTCTACTACATGGAGTCAGATGAGCCTCATGGAGTAAAATTCAAGCCAAACCAGTACACCAAAATTGATACCATAGCTGCTGACGAGAGCTTTACCCAGATGGACTTGGGCGACCGCATCCTCAAGCTCAACACGGAAGTTCGTGAAGTTGGGCCCATCAACAAGAAGGGATTTTATCTTGCTTTCCAGGACATTGGAGCGTGCATTGCTTTGGTGTCAGTCCGTGTCTATTATAAGAAATGCCCGTTCACGGTCCGTAATTTGGCCATGTTTCCTGACACCATTCCAAGGGTGGATTCTTCCTCGCTGGTGGAAGTACGGGGCTCCTGTGTGAAGAGCGCTGAGGAACGTGACACCCCAAAATTGTATTGTGGGGCAGATGGGGATTGGCTGGTGCCTCTGGGACGTTGCATCTGCAGTGTGGGATATGAAGAGCTGGAGGGTTCCTGTCATGGTAAGAAAACATTGTTCAATTTTTTATTTTTTTTTAAATTTTTAAGAGAAGTCATTGCTGTCATATTCTCTTCCACTGTCCATAACAGTTTTGAAATTACTGGTGAATAAGGTGCTTTTTTCTGTAGTAATGGTTGTGAACATTGATATCACAGTGGCTGCTGAGGCTGTCTGCTGCAATTTAACATTGGCTTTATGGAGAGAGAGTCTGTACCCATCCTTTACAAAAATGACTCTGCTATTTTGCTCAAGAATTTCTCAGATTGGATGGTGTTAGGCAAGCTACACAGCAATCTTGGACAATAGAGAGGATTAAAAGCACTGTGCACTGTAATCAGAAAACGAAATTCACTTTGTTGTCTGATCTTGCTGGCATTAATTATCAAAATACACTCATTGCAAAGATCCAATGTTGACAGTGCCATTATTGGAAGCCAGCATAATTTTGTACATAAGGTCAAAAGGTTTCTCTCTTAATGGGATAAGGATTTTCTCTGAAACTTTAATGCAGAATGAATGCCTGTCCATTATGCAAGTGAGTCATACACTAGAACTGTCCATGCGCAGCCAAAGTCTACCAGAAATGCTTTCTGCAGTGCACTGACTCCACTAGTTTATTCAATTGGTCATCTGATCTGCTGAGCAGGACCTCCAGAGTGAAATGGAGTACCCAAAGCCACAAGTTTTTGCACATTCTTACCTATTTGCCCCAAGAATTACCAATTACTACTTTAGAAAATTCTAATCTAATAGAGCTTCTGCGTGTTTTGAAATAATTTTCCTAGGTGGTTGTCCATTGAATCTAAATTTTTATGCTATTTTTTTTCCTGAAAGTTTACAGAATAAATTTGTCTTGCATTACTTTGTGAATGTCATGTCCAAGGCAAGCTGAATTGTATGAGAAGCTTTCATAACTAAAGGGAACAATTTAATTCCAGTAGTTCTCACTCTGCAGTGTGTAAACCATGAGTGGAAGGGTTCCTCCTGTTCTGGGTGGCCAGAACAGCTGGCAATGCATTTGTACAATGGGATTTTTTCAATGTCACTGAGTGTTGTGAACTGAACCATGATGTGTGTGTTGATAGACATCTTTCAGACAGCCATAATGTTCTATTTTGAGGCTTTGCTTCTTGGCTGAGACATGAATAACAAATTCAGAGTTTAACAGAGTTGTTGCTTATTAGTAAATCCAGAGAAAACTCTTTAGTACCCATTAAATTAAAAAATTCCTGAATATTAACTGTCTGAGAGGAAAATTTTTTAAATTTACATTGAGCTTCTTTTCAGAGAAACAGAGAGTGGGGGACTAGGTGGGGAGGAGTAGAAGCAACTCTATCTTAGCCTGATAGGACCTGATCTCTATTTATAAAGTTTTCATATCTTTTGGGTCCTTCCCTCAAACCCTAACCCAAAGCCCTTTTGTCCCTGCCATTCCCCTGCTGGAGTTGCAAATCTGAGTCTTGAAAGTGTTTTGCATCATTCTGTCAGTGCTTTGTGCAGGCATAATCTGTGACATACTCAGGAGATGACCATTTCTTTCTTCTGCAAGAAAAGGAAGAGTCAGAATAATAATTTTGCATTTTGAAGTCTGTTCTGAAAAATAATTGGGTGGTGGGCAATACTTGCTGATACTTGAATATATTTTCCTACTTACACATGGTGTCAAACTTCTTATACCCCAGCCTGTGGCTCTGTGGGGAATGAGCACTTAGTGGCAAATATGGCTTATCTGTCACAGAATTTAAAGAAAAGGTTTTTGTTTTGATATTTGTGGAGATACAGATTCTCTATTCACAAAATATTAAGTGGCATAAGGAAGGACATTCTGTCATTGCCATTGCTCATCATTTTGCAAAGCAGCAAGAATGGGAATAAAACCAGTCTTTGATCAGTTTTGCTGCTGCTGTTAAAAATCATAGGTTATTTTCAGCTGCCTAAATCTCATTTACCTGCTTTCCTAGCTGGCAACATTTCAATTATTTCAATATATGTCAGATTTATTCTTCTCTCTCTTTGTCTGTGGCTCTCTCAGTATTCCCTATCCATTGCATTTTCTTTTAAAAGCATTCTTTCAGAGCCAAAGTGTCTGAGAAGAGTTCCCAACTGGATTGAAAATATCCATACCTGTAAAATGTATACCCAAATGTCTGCAGTTAGTTCAGAGGCGTATTAATAGGGAATTTTTCGGTAATTTGGGACTGTCTTCCTTTTCTGAAGTCAGTAGGGGGGAAAGTGGCATTGACTGCAAGAGATTCCCAGGTATTTGTGTGTTCTGTACATTTTTAATGGGATAGTCTGGAATATAGCAATCTTTTCTAAATTTATTATGTGAACAGTCTCTCAATCTTTGATTTGAACCTACTTTTCGAGATCACCCCCTCAAATCCTGAAATAGCAGCATCATTCACGTGTTGTTCTGCATCGCATAATGAATTAATTAGAACCAGTAATTTGGCCCTGCAGATCAGAAATGGCTCTGATATGAGCTGCTGACTTTGCTAATTCATTTACACCAGCCCCAGCACCAAGTTTCAGGTTAGGAGGAGGAAATGCTGCACAGGATTCTGGTAAACAACAATTAAAAGTGGCATGTTCATACTCTGTGTTCTCTGAATGTCAGCCCAAGATATGATTTGTGCTAAATTTAACAAGTGTATAATATATACAGGTTGTATCAGGACTTTGTGGTGGGGGTTTTTCACATAGGAGCAAACAATCATGACAAGGAACCTTTTATGAACTTAATCATAATGGTTCATTTCTGTTAGGGCATGATATGGAAATAATTGGATGATTGTTAACTGAAGTTTGACTTTTTAATGGTTTGTCAAAAATTATCTGAATTATTCAAGGTTAGGAATTAATTGCAAAGAAAAATTCAATTATATATGGCAAATAGTAATTATTGTGGTAATTTTAGATTTTACTTTAGTCTTAACCTACCAAACACAGTGCAAAAGTCTATTTTGCCAGCCATACAAAGTTGATTCTTCTTGAGGAATATTCTTAGGAAGCCACCACTTCCAAAGTAGGATATATTTGGTATAGCTGAAGCAGTGCTAACTGTTAAAAATGTGAAACAACAGGCACTGACAGACTCACCTGGTTTATTTTAAGTGAGACAAATAGAGTAAGAAATGAAAATGTGAAATTCAAATTCTCTGACCCTGAGTTGACTGAACAACACTTCCTGGGGATACTAATGCCTGCACACATGGAGCTTTTAATTGAACAAACACTTCTTTCCATGATTCATCACCTGAATTTGTGGTAATGTTTTAGTGTTAGGATTTCTCCTTTGGCAGCTGATCTTTGTGTTCTTTAGTAGTTTCCAAATGGAAACTACTCTCATTTTTCAATTAACTAATCCCCTCCTCATATATGTACCTGTAGTGTGGCTCTGTTTTTGGGAAACCAAAACAAAGTTCATGTTACAGTCATATTTTAGTTACCTGAGTGCCAGCATCAAAACAGGAAAATGGGGGAATAAACTACTTTGGAATGACAAGTTACAGAGATAGAGTGTTGTGTAAGGTTCCTTTGGGGCTTTCTTCCGTGGGTTTATTTGCTCATGAGATTGAGTCTTTACCAGGCACTGAAGGAAACATCTTTAAAGGAAAACCATAGTAAGGGTTTTGACTACACAAGAGGGACAAAATGAGATTGAATGCAACATTTTCAGTGGCTACAAATTATCTTTTTAGGGGAAAACCTTTCCACCAGAGTACTTCCTGCAGCTGTTCCACAAGTGCTGGAGTAGTTCCCTAAGACAGAGGGTGTAAAATTCCAAATTTCTGTTTCCTGTCAGCCACAGACAGGAATTGGTCAAAGAGGCTGAATGAGTGCAGAACTAAAAGGGTCCACAGACTTCTGTCTCTCTTGTGGAGTTAGCAATCACAATCCTGTCTGCTTGGATCTCTCACAGAGATAATTTAAATAGTTGTCTTTTAATTGGTTGCATTAATTTTTTCAAGTAAACAACCATATAGTTAATGAAATTTATAACAGATTCTTAACTTTGTGACTGCTCTGAAAGGAATTCACTTTTTTCCCTGTGCTTAGGCAATGATGGTTTATTTTACATTATTTGTGAGTCTGCAGAGCTTTAGATTTCACAGTTTCAATGGTAGTACTTGAAACCTTTGTGATTATTGGTGAAATATATTTTTTACTGAAAAACCTCCTCTTTAGCCTGTGTAAGGCTGCACTCTGTGAATACTCACCACAAATTTTAACTTTCAGTTCTGAATATGGATAAAGGTGAATTGTGATTTGTTGATTCCAAATTCACTTCTTAGGTGGAACTGCTAAATAGTTTTTAGTACAATGCAAAAACAAGGACGGGGGAAAAAACAGAAGTTGTGGGTAACTGCAAATGTGTAGATAGAGTATGGAAAAGTAATTGATAATGAGCTGTTCAAAGCTTCTGAATGTATTTAATCACAAATAGCTGCTAGCATGTGGAAAAACTCTGAACTCAAGGCCTGCATACATTAGAAAAAAATAATATTTACAGTGGACAAAAATTTAAATTATTCCCTGTTCTGAGGTGACATTGCCAATGCTATTGGCAGCACTTTTAAGTTCCTACATCCAGGTTTTAATTTCTAAATGGCAGGTCATGTGCCAAGCTATTTCAGCTGTATCTCTCATTTGTACTTTTTCCACTTGCATAACAAAAACCATTTTGTCCTTAAGGCTTGCAATTAGTATGAATTAAAAATAACATAGTTTCCTGGCTGAAATAGGAGGCAAATGAGGGATGGTGAACTGTGGCATGGATGGGATATTACTTACTGTCAAAAGGATGAGTTTTTAGTGAGCTGTTCCAATCTAAAGAGGTCTGACTTGGTTGGATTCAGTAATTTCACAACTTTTTTGGTTGTTTTGGTGGCTGTTTCTGGTTTTGAGTTAGTTTGTTGTGTTTTCACTCATTTGGACATTTTCATTAACTTAGTTACTGATTTTGATTTTTGAGGGTGTCTTGTGTTTTTGGGTTTG